TTGTGTGCAATCTAAGTCTACCTGTAATGTGTAGACTCGATAAATACTTGGTTCTAGAAGGCTATCCTCCATTGTAGAACATAGCTGTTATTTTAGAAGTTCAGTTATGCCTCACGCCTACTATCTTTAAATTCCAAGGAAAAATATATACACAAATAGGTGTAGCAGTGGGATAAGGGAACACCAATATCCGGATTGGTTTGTAGAGATTCGGTTGACTGGTTACAGGATTTCATCATGAGCTGACATCAGTTAGAGAACCATTGGAAAACCTGGGAGAACTGGACAGCTGTTTCGTCCTAGTTTGGGACTCTTCAGCAGTACACACCTCTCGGGATTTGAATCCAGGCAGAAGTTAGAATTCATGGGCCATTGGATCGGATCCCAGTGGCTTAATGGTATACGAGCTTGCCTTGTAACCAGAAGGTCCTGGGTTCGAATCCCGGTGGGTGAGCACTGCTGAAGAGTCTCAAACTAGGACGAAACAGCTGTCCAGTTCTCCCAGGTTTTCCAATGGTTCTCTAACTAATGTCAGCTCATGATGAAATCCTGAAATCAATCCGGATGACACTTTCACACACAGTGTTAAAAACAGAACATATCAATCTCTCTCTAGCTTCTTGACACATATATAGCAGAGGGAATAAAATTCACATTTGAATCGGAAAATGAACAAGGAGAATTAGCCATGTTAGATTGTAGAATCAAACGAATAGAAGAAGGTAAACTACACACTAGTGTTTATAAAAAACCAACAAATTCTGCTAATAGATATTTAGACTTTAATTCATCTCATTCGTTAACTGTTAAGGCAGGCTTAGTTAATTGTCTAAAAAACCGAGCAATAGCACTGAGTAGTACAAGAAAAGACCTAAATGATGAAATAAGACAGACAGAAGAGGCGTCGGTGTCAAATAACTAACTATCCTATAAAATTCATTAGGAAGATCGAAAAAGACCAAAAGCAAATTAAAAATAATGGGGAAACTAATAATGGTAATTAATATAAATAAGAGGGAATAAAAGGTATCTAATGTCATACCCTATAAGGAGGGGGCATCTGAGACCCTACTACAACTACATAGGTCAAACCAGTAGATCAGCAGTAGTTAGATTGTCAGAACATAAGGGTTAAAATTCTAAGAAGTAATATAGGTCGGTGGAGATAAATAGAGTTTCATTACTCAATCTTTGTTCGTAGAATCTACACCCAATAGAAATGACTCATCGCCAGTACCAGAAATATGGAAAATATTACTACTACCAATCAAATCAAGCTATGGAAAATAATTGAATTATATAAACGAAGTTAGAAAGTTGTGGTTGAGTAGTACCTTGATATGATTATGAGCTGTAATACATTGTGCTCGAAACGTGGTCATCAGTAAATATTACTGCATGACACTGAGAGACTTTATCAAAATAAATTTTACCCATAATGGAATCATTCATCTTTTTGTTTGTTCTTACGCCGTCGGTTAGTGAAGCCACTGCTGTATGTGTAAAACTTGAGCACTGTGGTAGTAAGCAATTCCATAAAAATTTGTTTATTAGATGTACCAGACAGTCACAGAAACAGTATTATTTACTGGATGCTGCTAGGTTTTATGTCCAGCTAGTCTGACTCACTGACTGACCCTGTTCTACTAGTTTGAACCATCTATGTATTTGACCTGACAATCATTCCAGCAGGCGGGGTGTTAGATAAACTAAATTGTTTTGTCGGTTAAATGCTCCACTGTCAGGATTGATTCTTTCACTGAAAAAGCTTGTTTCTAATTGAGTTTGTGGGGAGGGTTTGAATAGCAGTTACTTTTATTCCTGTCAGCCTTGTTAAGAATTCTGTGTAAGGTGGTTTCCGAGGTTCCTTCCTTGTATGGAATTACCACTGTTAGTTTAGATTCCTTGTTGTTGGTATCGTCATTATTATTATTATTTTCATCATCACTATTATTATTACTGTTATCATTATTACTATTATTATCACTATAGCTACTATCATTATTATTTATTTATTTTTACATTTTCCTACATATTTTCTGACTAATTTATCCAGGTAATCATTAAGTTTCAATGCTTCTTCTATGTGTCTCACTTCCTGTCTTAAACTTTCCTTGGTGCTACTTAGTTTCTGTGCTGTGTCAGGTAAAGATTTCACCAATCCTATTTTTATTGACATAGGATAGGTGGGCTGATGAGAGGTCCAAATATGTGTTTGAATTTGTGGGTTTCCTGTAAACACACACACACTATTGTGTGTTTAACTTCCCATCTTCTTTCCTTTTTACGTTGAAATCTAACATTGGAAGCTCCCCCGCTTCCTGACTTTCCAATTCATCATCAGTGAATTGAATTGCCTCCACTTTTGAAATAATTAATGTGTTCGAAAAATCTATCTATATCCTGTATTTTAAGTACAGTGAATGTGTCATCTACATACCTCCACCATACTTTTTGGGTTGGCCATTGCTGACCTTATCGGCTGCTAATTTCATAGGTCTGGATCTTGAAATTATCCAGTTAAATGTGTTCATTGAAGTCAGTAGACATCTCGACAAATTGAACAATCTCAGCTATCCTCATTGCTACCGGCATCATAACTTTTGTGCATTAAACTGCATATCATCATATCAAGAAAATAACATGAATGGTAGTTGAATACAACTCACATCAAATAAGTAGAACATGCCATCCGTATCGAAGTAATTTAAGCAGTGGATGGTCGTTTTGCTCTTTTATTTGATGTGAGTAATTTTTCCTACGTTCCCCAGTGGAATATAGGGCCCTAAGCTAGTGCCTTGAAGTTTCTGTAGCACTGTTTATGTTTACAGGATGCGGTTGCTAGCCTCATGCCCAACCTTTCCTCTTTACCAGCATTATTTCTGGCTTAGTGACGTAAAAAAGTGCATTGGTGGACGGGAATCGAACTCCGGACTATGTGCATGGTCGGCGAGCGTCCTAACCGCTGTGCCATCGACGAACAGTGAGTAATAATGTCCGTTTAATCGGTATTACACAGTACAATGCATTTATGCTTGACAGACATTCATGGTATAAAGTGGAATCACATACTGTGATTTGAATAATTCTGGTTTCTTAAGGCAAATGCGTTGAAATTTTATCATTAATTTAATTTGTAATCTGCCAATGTGATTCGAATTAATTTAAGATTTGCTGAATACCTCTGCTGAAATCCTAGTCATGAATTTTTTGGCTGCATAATTATTGAGCCCGAAAAAAATGCTTTTATGAATTCTTAAGAGGAAAGAATCACAAATTCAGGTGAAGACTGTCCATGATAGAATAGCGTCATAAGTTAGCCCAACTAAATAAGAGTATAGTTAGTAAATTATTATTATTATTATCATTGTTTTGAAATAATAGAGACGATTTGTAGCTCAGGTGGATGATTTGCAATTAGTAGTGTTCTCTGAGGAGCTGGTTGGTTAAGTTGCGGAGCTTTCGTCGTCCCTACCCCTGATGAACAACATCCCCCCCTTCAGCGGAATTTTTAGCATAAACGGGAAAATCAAAAATTCTATTCAATAAACTGAAATGATTTAAATTTCTTCATGAGTGATGATAGAATTGCGTGTGTCTCCTGGTAACCATCTTTATATGTATATGTATTGATCATTTTGATTATTGACTTGGATTTGAAACTTTCTCGTCACATGATCTAATTTTCAGTAGTTGGTAGATTTGGTTTATATTAACATCTTTGTTAATCGCGTATTCGTTTGAATACCAGGCTACTAGGAATTCCCTGAATACACTTTTCGCGGTGTTTCCTCTGTCTAAGATATCGACATTATCTCAGTTATCAGTCAAACTGATGTCCATAATTATCTATATGCATTGGTTGATATGAAACAGGAATATATATGTCATGTCATGTCTTTTCACAGCTGATTTATGTTCCTGGATTCTGATTCGACACCCTGGGGACGCCCACTTCAGTCACCGATGTGTTGTCTGTTACAGTTCATACATGCAATTTATTTTGTAAATGGTATTAATTTTATCTCCTTTTTCTGTTTGACGTGTCTTTCGGTTTACAGAATATCGAATGAAGTGATTTGACTGGCTGGCTGGCTGGCTTGTGTGCTATATGTATCTATTTCAAACGGCTTCAGTATTCTAGCTATTATTTCAGGCATATTGTATATATATAACTTGTTTCCTTTAGTTCCTAGAGGATCGTAGGGCTTCAACTGCACGTCCCCATTGCGTTTGGTTCTCCACCAACATTTTCACCTGACTCCACGTGCACCCACATGCTTTCATCTCCTCTTCACATCACCTCTTCCTTCTCCTCTATGTCACCCTCCAACTAACTCACCGCTTCCCCTTTCACCTTCCACTTGACTGATGACCTGGAGTGTGATGTCACTACTCACTTGATGGTTTGTTTGTTTTCTCAAAGTATGGCGACAATCCAATCCAATCTGCCTGGATTTCTTCCTTCACATTTGCTGCACAATTGTTTCCTGCCGGGTTGAGTTGGGTTAGGTCGGTTCGTCGTTTCTGAGATCCCAGAGTTCCCTCCAGGCTGGTGATGTTTTCTGGCTGGTCAGCGGACCGGCCATCTAACCTTCATCGAGCGAAGTATTAAGCAAAGACAGGTGTCGATGAAAGTCTGTAGTTTGTTCGAAGTGGTCTTCGTGTCGCCAAATTTCTGATGCGTATAGTTGTACTGACTGACTCCACATTAGAGTTTAAAATCCTGATATTGTTTTTCATTCTGAGTGCTGTTCATCTCCACACAGACTTGAGAGGCTTGCCTTTCCGATCCTCGCTGCTTTGATAGTTACTAAATACAACTCACTTTTCGTTTGCATAGAATCCTGTGTTAATATATGATATGCAACATTTCGTTTTGTATGACACTGATCATGAAATGTCGCATTCTTATCACTTCAAACTACTTATTTCTTCTAGTAGTATAGTTCATACTAACTCAGTGTTTCTCTTTTTTGGTCAACGCTTTATTCTAATAGATATCTATAGCAAAAGTTGGTCTCCGTGATTCTCTACTATATCAAGATGAAGAAACAAATCGGATTATTGTCGCACTAGATCCAGACATTTTACAAGTCTACCGAGAGATTGAATTACTTTCTAAATGGGGATTAGAAATACCTGAAATCGCTATAGAATTGAGTCAAAAAGAGAGTGAATTAAAAAAGCACTATCATAATTTAAAAGTATGTTGCTTTTCGTTTTTTATTTTTTGAAGGATGGGTTTGCGTCATTCAATGATTTTGTCTCTTCCCTGCATGCGAATCGGTTAATAAAAATAACTTTACCTGTTAAAAAACCTGTTAAAAGACATATAGACAAACAGACTAAAAGCGTAGAAATAAATAGAAGAGCATACCAAATTGGTCTTCTAACAGTTAAGACTGTAACGACAGAAGACAAGGGCTAGGCAATAAATCGTTTATTGTGAAAACCAACAGATATTCACAGATTTTTATGTACATTGTTATTCATTAGCATTAGCAGAGAAACAACGTCTTCTGATTGGTTATTTTCCTGCTCAAGGTTATCCTGTCATCTCTTAGTTGCCGTTTCTTAGATAGTCCGTTTATATATATATATATATATATATATATATATATATATATATCTGCGAATCGTAACCGCCCATGCTAAATCTGCTGTGATTGGTTGTTAATTTCCTCAAGGTTAGGGTTCGTTCTTGTTTTATTTTTCATGACCAAGATTCGCGATGCAAAAATTGACGTAAATTACTGTCTACCAGTTTCGGCTAGCCAAGCAAAATTCTCAGTCGCATCATTCTGGAGAGAATAAAGGACACACTGGATCCAGTACTCCGACCAGAACAAGCTGAATTCAGGAAAGTCAGGCAAATCATCTTCTGACCAAATTGCAACTCTACGCATCATCATCACAGAACAAAGCATGGAATGGTGATCAAACCTCTAACTCAACTTTATAGACTTTGAGAAGGCCTTCAATAGACAGCGTTGACCACGAAGTAATTTGGAAACTACTCGAGTATTACGGCGTACCCCAAATATTTATCAACATTGTTGAATATCAACAGCTGTACGACAACGGCACATGTCAAGTGATCCACAACGGAAAATTCAGTGAGGCATTTGGAGTAAACACAGGAGTGAGACAAGGGTGCTTACTATCACCCACGATGATATTCCTAATTGTGGCGGACTGACTGGATTATGCGTCAGACAGTGTGAAACGAGAAGACAGGAATATCCTAGACCGACGTGAAGAACCTAGAAGACCCGAATTTCGCACGGAGATGATTTTTATTTGATGTCACACAAAATCGAAGACTTACAAGCGAAAACCGACAAACTGGTCGAAGAAGCAGCCAGCGAAGACAGGACTCCAGGTGAACATAGGTGAACAAGACGGAGGTGATGAAAATAACCAACCAACCAACCAACAACAACAACAACAACAAAAACATCCAGCCAGCAGCTAATCACCATCAACGGGAGGGATTTGAAAGAGACTACTTCATTCACTTACTTATCTAGCATTGAGCATTGTCTCAACTACAGGAAGTCGGAACAGACGACGATGTCAAATCAAGCGAGAATCGGGAAGGCGAGAAGCACATTCACTCACATCAACTTGAAACCAATCTTCGTCACTCAGACAGCATCAGCAACGAAATTCCGTCGGATTTTCAATACAAACACGTCAAGTCAGTCAGTTCTTCTGTATAGAACGGATGAGAAACTTGGCGGGTGAGTCACAACGAATATTTCCACCAACGGCCTGTTGCAGACGTTACCTTTATCAACAACTAACTGTCTTCGCTGGATCTATCCTGAAGATCAGATGGCCGGGCTGAGCCGGAAAGAATCACCAACAACAAGAAACTATGGGAACAGACAAAACACGAGAACCAATCGTCCAACAACATCAAATATGCAGGAGAAATTGCAGATGAATTGAACACTCGCTGAGGAGGCCGCCGCTGGGTGGCATCGCGCGCGCGTCAGGCCACTGCTCGAGTGGAACCAGGCCGAAAGGTAAGCACGCGGCGAGTCGGTCGTCAGTGCAAGGGTGACATGGAGGAGATCGTGTTAGTTGGAGGAGTTGAAACAGTATGGAGTAACATGGGTGCAGGTGAAAAGTACAGCAGAAGACAGACAAAAGCAAGTGGAGACGTGCAGTTGAAGCCCTATGTTCCACTAGGAACCCAATGGAACAATAATAATAATAGTAATTTTGGCTAGCAGGTAGCTCCTCTCACCACAACACATATCGGCTGAAGTAGAATGACATTGTTGATCTTATGGGAACAGTAAAATAATGAAGAAAGAAGAGTGAAAATCAACGAAATGTTTCACCCTGTAGAGTGAATGTTTATCAGTAGTTGGTTGGAACGCCTAAACTACAGTCTAATGTTGTCTACCAAGTTCCAAGGAAAGCTCATTGACCATTCACTGAATCGACATACAACACGTGCGATTGGAATGATGCAACACCAAAACGATAGATGTGGGAAATATATATCCACAAATATATAATCAAAAGGTAAGTAATTTTACAAACTGTAATTGAGCGACTTGATATGAGTATGAGCAATAAATAGTGCTTGAAACATCACTAGTGCATAATGCTGTAGCACTGTATGCTTTCATCGAATAAATTTACCGTAAAATGAGTTTTGTTGTAAAAACTTCATGCAATTCTTCCCATTAATAAACTTGAATAAAGCAAGAACAACAATTGTACCAGAAGATAATATAAGCTCATCTTTTATTATTTCGAGTATTCTTCTCAATCGGTTACAAAAATTCCACTATCACAAGGAGTAATTGGTTGGTAGAAAGTAAAAGTAACATTAGTCCGGAATGATTTAACTGATTAGGAGTTATAAACCCTGACTATTTATAGAACAGTTAGACGATTAGGCTTGGAAACAAAAAGAGTTGTATATATATATGGAAACAAGGTTTAGCTAGAAAGAGGTTGTATGTATTTATCAAACAACTAGCTGTTTGATACAATCAAAAGTGGACAAATACCCACCTCATGTTACCTCCAACGTGTGTCTACCAATTTACATGTTTTACGTGCCATAGCACATACATTGGAAGAACAGAGAGAGAAGGGTTATTGTCCACATCTCTGAACACATACACCAAAAAGAACTTGAGACTGAAAGGTCCGGAAGCATTAAACAGTGCTATTGTTCGTTGAAAATAATCAACAAGCAAAAGAAACCTAGCTTGCTACACTTTGCTGAAACAATTGCTATCAAACGAATTAAACCACTAAATCTATGTAGGCAGAAAGAGACAGTGGTGAATCTTCCACTATCCTGGTGATAACAAAAATGTACAACTTTTATGAGTCATCCCTTTCCTTGTTTAGAAAACTCTACTGTCTCCTCTAAACATGACTCACCCTACCTTGTTTCTTTTCTTTCCTTTTTTCTATTGGCTATTAGATAAAACATTTTGATGTGGTTGTGTTCTCTGAGCAGGATGGTTAATCAGGGGATTTAGAAACTCAGGTTTACAGAAAATCAACTCACACAGACCAAATAATGAATTACGATAGCAACAATCCAATAACACACATAAGGAATTGCATACAAACATTATTCAAGAGGGCCAACCAGCCAGGACTCACTGCAGCACTCTCACCTAAGGGAAGATTGAGGGAAGATATCTCATGGACATATTCCAGAAGAATGGATATCTACGGAAATTCATCAAAAGACACATACCCTCAAGCCAACCTACCAAGTCAAAGGCCCCCAAGGAAAGCACAAAGAAAATCGCCTTACCATATATAAAGGACATCTCAGAAATCACTGCAAGACTCTTCAAACCTTCAAGAATTGACGTCGTACACAAACCAACAAAATCACTTCACTCAGTTCTATGTCAACCAAAAGACTCAACAGCGAGAGAAGACAAAACCAACATCATCTACAAAATAAATTGTACCAACTGCGGAAAACACTACATTGGCCAAAGTGGATGTTCCCTTAGTCTTCGTATCAACGATCATGAGCTAGACATCAAAAGACATGACATTCAATCCCTCACTCAAATCGCCTCACTGCATACAGACAACCACGGACAACAATTCGACTGGGATAACCAACGTTCAAATATCAGACAGAGGAAACAACACCAAGATTCCTAGCCAGATAATTTTTAGAAGCCTACCTGGTATTCCAGTGAATCATCAATCAATAGACACGTTGAGATAGATACAATTTATCAACCGATAAAAAAGAAACCTCACACACGAAGGGTCAAAGTTCAAGTCACAGAAACAATCAGTTCCAATACAAGCATCCTAGAAGGTATGAAAACGCACAAAAACAACCAATCACTTCCAAGGTGATCACCGACCAGGAGAGACGATTAATAAACTCGTTGAGAAATCGAAAAGCTCACTTCAATTCAAATTGAAGTGTAGACGCTGAATGAAGATGTCGCCTGCCTAGTAGAGCGATAAAAGCTTCGCAAATTGACTAACCAGCCAGCTCAGAGAACACAACCACATCAAAATCATCCAGGTGCGATACAAATCTTCTCTATCATAGATAAAACATTTTCTTTAGTTACGTAATCCACTTTTTTGTTATGCTCTTTCTACGTAAGCCTTGTTTCTAAGTCTAATTGTCTAATTATTCTATAAATGGTTAAATCATTCCGGACAAAGGTTACTTTTACTTTCTACCAACCAATTACTCTTTGTGATCGAGGAAAAGTATGCTCAAAATCTTCAACGTAATCCATATACATTTTTTATCGTTCAGATTGTAACCAGTTGAGAAGAATCCTCGAAATAATAATAATAAAAGATGAGCTCATATTATCTTCTGGTACAATTGTTGTTCTTGCTTTGTTAGAGTTTCGTTTTGTTGGTGAATTTCTACGTACAGGTAGAAATGTATCCGGAATTATTGGTCTAGATATTTCATCGTTCAACTTTAGTTGCTAACTTTCAATGTTCACCTCAACTGATATCTGGGGCAAGCATTTGCACCATTTTAGTAGGCTATCATATTGCATAGGGTTGCTCATACACGCACTCTATTTAGCTAGGATGACATTTTTACCATGTGTTTCTAATCACAAAACATATTTCATATGTTGGACGAACACATCGATATTCTGAATCGGCTTTCTAACTGTTCCTGATCATATGGTATGAAGTATATTTGTGATTGGAG